TCAGCCTACCTCTAAAATGCAGCACTCGCTTTGATTTCAGGATCCCACAACGAGTGCGCAGTCGGAGGAAGAAAACAACCGGAAGTGAGAGGGCGCACACATGAACCGCGTTCGGCTATGGCTAGGGGTATGGCCGGCTGTACGGCAGCGCGAGGCGGAATATGAGGTTGGCAGCGGGTATCATTACCCTGCAGCCTGGTTCTCAAGCACTTTTGAGCGGAGAATGCATCACTCTACGGTAGATGCGGACCAATCCCCTCACAGATGGAGGATCAGAATCCACGAAGGTGAATGTACAGTCTGTCTTAGAAACTAGAGAAAAGTGGAGGAAGACGTCGAGAACGCCCCATTCATGACTCTCCCTTCGCAGCTAGGAAAGCGTTCATACTTCGCGACAGCAGCGGAGCGGCGATCGCCGCGATCGTCGGTACATGGCAGAGCGCGCCCCAACGCTATTACTTGCGCTCCGAAGGCTTTTGGGAAGAAGCGACTCAATTTCATGCTTTTTTTCCTTTAACTGCAATTTTCTTAGGTACTGAAGCTTGGTTTGACACAAAGAAAGGTGAACCCAACTTAATGGCTTTTAGTCTCCAAATTCTCTCTTGGTAGAACCTCTGCATTGTTGTAAATATGATGAATGAGCGGATCAACGCGACTCCGCTAGATGTTATTAAAGTACACTCCTTATCCCTGAGTCAGAGTAGGCGTGGCATTTGAACATGGCACGGAACTGGTTACTCGTGGAATATTCCACTCTGTCTATGTCCGGTTTAACAAGCTATAAAAGGCACACTTGTTCATCTTTGTGCTGGGCTGGTGACGAGACACGAAAACAGGAGTTGCTGAACTCCACATATCGGTGGATAATATCCTCATCGATAGGCATGGTATGTGAAACCTTCATGATGTAGTTTCATTAAAATGTCGATGTGCGCCTACACAATCTCAGGGATTTCGAGTATAACTGACATCTAGTGGAGCGCCGTTGATCAGCTCATGCCGCGGTGGACTTGGCCTGTGAGGATGATCTGGTCGAAACGTTGGGCCGTGAATAAAAGCTCCACCTAGAAAACGCTCGTTGATGCAGAAGGAATAGACACTAATGGCTTTTATTTTTACCAGTCGGATCGCCCGGCTGACGCCGAGCTCTCCTCCTTCTTTTCAGCTCGGCTTCGCCGAGCTGGCCTGGCTTCGCCAGGCGCACGGAAAGGAATTTGTTAATTGCCTGAGCTGCTCATATTGCGCGCTAGTGGTCGAATCATAATAGACAGAGTAACCTAGCGAAATCTGCACCCCTCAGAGTTGCGGAAGGCGTGCTGGTTTCGGCCATAACGCCCATTCTATAAGTAGATCTCAGAAATAGATAAAGTACAGAGAATATCAATATATGTTGCACAGTAGATGAAAACATCCGTTTTTACTACATGATTCCACCAACACAAACGAGGGAGGCGATTTAACTTGTCCATTAATATGCGCAATCCACCTTGCTAAGGTTGCGATGAACTGGCTGCAGATGACCAATATTGTAGCAGCGTTCATTATCTTACAAACTACTTCGTTATTCGTTCTCATCAGTGATATAACGCTGAGAAGCAAAAAAATATTTAAATACTCACTGAACGCATAAAGTGTGTTCCAATATTGGAGTTTTTGATTTCTCCAAACTTCCTGTTTCAGGCGAAGTATATACCCCCCTAGTGGGATGAGTACATTTTCTAGTGCTATCAGAGGAGTGATGGCTGTGGGAAAATTTCGCTTACTGAGAGGCTTTTTTGGCAGTGTAGTGGTCAGAGATGTCGTGAAAATGTCCCCTTATCTTTACTTATCAATTGATAAAATTGCTTGTCACTCGTCATCAATGTCGCTATCCTAAAACTTCATAATTTCGTAGTGTGGAGGCTCCAGCGTTAGATTGAACAACAACTGCATCGTTCCCTATCAGGCCCTATCAGCTGTTATCATTTCTTGTCACCCGCCGTCGCATTCTCCACCTTCCCCTTGATATCATTTGCTGTGCAAACGCCTAACTGATGCTGTGTACCGCGTTATGAGTATGTTGTCCTTTCCACTCTAACTCCCTTTATCAGCGGCTAGCAGTTCTTGTCACCCACATATTCCTGTGCCATAACCTATATCATACCTTGAAAAAACGCCCCAGTGTTCCAGTCGGACCGTCCCCTTCCTTCTCTTGCGCATGCTCAGATCGGGCTGAGCACGCGCAGGGGAAGGAAGCAGAGGGGGGGGGGGGGCAGTGCCCCCCCCCCCTCCCTCGGCCCCACCCCACCCTGCCCCCGCACGAGCACACGTCCAGCTGCCACGCCAGCAGCTCGTGCAATGGCTCGGAGTGTACCGAATGGTTGTCTTATATAGCGGAGGCCGATATCACGATCAAAACATTGGATTGATACTTCCGCACCGATTTGCCTGTTTGCCTAGCGGTCGTTCTCGCCTCCAGCGAACTCGAAGCCTTGAAGCATTTTGCGGACGGACAAACATACATACTTACATACTTACATACTTACATACTTACATACTTACATTACATACAGACTCGACACCGACACACAAGGTTAGTGCTTTATAGATAGAAGTGCATTTTATTTCTTGATTAAGGTTTATTGTTTCTTTTTTCATTCGCCGAGCTTATACATGAGGTTATAAAGTTTTCACCTGTTGATGTTGCGTAAAATGATTAGTGTTTTGGTTCCTAGGGAGTTTCTTTCTGTTTCTTTTTTTTCTTCGTTGTTTGAACTCGACTTGTAAACTATAAATGTTTTGGAAGTTGGAACAGTTCAGACGATAGGAACTTTTGAGGCGCTTGCATAAATTGAAACAATAAAAAACAAAAGAAACAAAAAGGAGCTTACTCAGGAAGTGCAGTTGGCATCATCCGGACCCAAAAAGAAGTGGAACTTCCTTACCTCATATTCCAGATCCGCTTATGTTTAGAAAGTCGTAAGTTATCAATTAGTAGCCACTATTAAGAGAAAAGAAGGTCTCACAAGTTGGATTTCCTTATTTATCAAGCGAGCAGTCCATAATAGCGTTGGGGCGCGCTCTGCCACGTACCGACGATCGCGGCGATCGCCGAGGTCGCTGCGATCGCCGCTGCTGTCGCAAAGTATGAACGCTGCGGGACAAAGTCATTTACGTCCAAGTAGAGCCGTCTTCGAGGCCGTTCATACGTTCGCGATTCCGCGACGGATTGGATCGAGTTGACCTGGCATAGCGTGATCGGGTTGCGCGATCAGGATTGATCTGACACGCACTGAGTAGTTACGGACAACTCGAACTCAGTCCTTGGTGCGACGCATTCGATCTTTCTTTTCTCTCTCCCTTTCTCTCCTCCCTTGAGAAAGCTTGTTTCTCTGCATGCCATACTTTCGTGCACATCACGGTGCTTGGCAGGCGTTGTCCTCTATCTGTCCGCGTTTGTCGCTTTCGCAACAGAACCAGCCACAAGCATCAAGATGTCACGTAATCGGACTCATTGCGAGCAGACTGTGAATGCGGGGCCCTAAATTTTAATGTTAGCCGGCTCTTCTCAACCTCGGTGTGTGAACTCAGTTGGAGCGGATGAAGGTTCCCCTCTTGCGTTTTTAGTGTCGGGGGTTGCTAAGGGTTACCGACATCTTAAGAACTTCTGTGCATTTCCATGTTATCTCAAGAAAATTCCATGCGCAACGCATTTATACGAGCGATAGAGGGCATGCTGGCTCATATAAGACATTTTCTTGTAACAACGTGCAATAAAAAGCGAGTATGGCGAAGCTCAGCAGAGTATAGGATTTTTTCTAAAGGGAAGGATCTTCGCAGAAGGGGCCTTGTCGTGAATGGCTACTTATGGTGCGGTGAAAATTAACTGGAGTTCGAGAGCGATCTAGTCACAACGACCATAGAGTGTTGTTGGCCGATGAGAGTGCAGAGGAAAAAGAGAAGATTCGACGCATACAAAGGGATTGCGTTCCAAGGTTCCGATAGAGCCTTGTTAAGGACTGTCATCGCGTCAGATTCTAGTCAGAGCCTCGAATAATTGAGAGAGTAGGAGAACGTCACTTCTCTTTGCTTCTTTTTTTACAAATAAACTTCTCTGCTTCCTGCTTTCCAACATTACCATTCTCTTGTACGCATAAACTAGGTACAAGGCTACTCTTGACTAACACCACGCTAATACTCTGACACTTCTCTCCATACACCAGGTATTTGCTTCTCGTAAGCAAAGGATGCGAGTTAATAACAGTGAAATAAATTAGTGAAAATGACAAAATTCCGAAAACAGGGTGACACATGTGCAACGGCCTTGCACTAGAACTGAGTAGCTAGAACTCCTTTAGTCTGTGGTGATACGCTGATACATTCAGCCTGATCTTCTTCAAGAGAGCAGAATGAAAACAAACTAACGAGTATGATATGTGAAGTGTGATAAAGCCTAAAGTCCAAATTGACAAAAACAACAAATGATCGGTTTTCCTGGGTGGATCATTCTGTTGTTAGTCACAAGAGGAGATAGCTGCTTCCTAGTTCGCTGATCGGCTTCCCCCTAGGAAGCTGAAATGTAAGTCAAGGTTTTGTACAGACTTGAATGTATTGTGGAACTTCGGCAATTGCACTTGAGCGCCCTGCTTACCCACTACAAACGATGAAGTGTTACTTCTCGTCAAAACTTCCTATTATAGTAAGTCGCCAGGTGAAGTAGGTACAATGTAGTAGGTTGTGGTAGGTACAAGGTAGTATATTGGCGAGCATTATCGAAGTGCTTTGTTGCTATCGAATCTCCTTCTCAAACGGTTTAGGGAAAACGACTATTTCGCTCCCCCACCCCAAGGTGGAGCACAGCCGCCGCCGCCGCCACCACCACCAGCTGGAGGACCACCGCCCGCGGCTGTCCAGAACAGAGGTGGAAATAGAAGTACGTTGTTCTCTTAAACTTTAAGAATGTTTCCAAGGAAGACAGACACGGCAAAGCATGTGATGCCAAAACTGTAAAAAGAAAACGAAGGAAAAAGCTAAGTATGTGACAGTATGTAACGAAACGCCTACGTGCTTGTGATTTTGAAAGTGAAAGCAGCAGGAGAGCCTCACATTCGCGAGCAGGCTTACGGTTAGGCAACATTGGAGCGTACCGTAGCCCATCCTACCTACTTGTATAGTTGATATCTTCGCAAATAGTGAGGGCAGTGTCAACGGGAACCGCATGAGCCCACTTCCGGCTCTACTCTACCAAAATGATCGCCTAGTGCTCGACTCAGTAAACAACAGAAGGTGATAACGCCACGGGTGGGTTCATTCCGTCCCTCCTGGCACCGCCCCGACTGATTGCGACGATATCAACTGTATGCAGCTATTGCGGCCATGAAAGTAATTATCGTTACAATCCAACAGAATCATCAACGAAGCTGATGCTTTATCGGTAGTCGGCGGGAGGAGAGTTACAAACGGAATTACCGCACCAGGAAAGATGTCACTCGACATGGCGCTGTTGCAGCGCGTCAAGTCACGTCTAGAAAAGTGGCTGGAAAATAAGGGGTCAAGCATTCCTTTTTTGGATGCCACACCGCAAGAGTGGGTCCTAGCTAGTTGACCAGACGTGTAGAGCCACAGAGAGCTAGTTGACTTGAGAGATGAAGAGAGTTGGCGAGCCGCAACGGTGCTACGTAGAGTGGATTGGATCCTGGTGTGAACGCTTGCGCACCGCTCTGACACCTCGCCACGACCTGGGACCTAAAGGGGCGGGCGTTAACCCTGGTCTAAGAAATTTTTTGACTGTTGATTTTTCATGTTTCACGCGCGCTATCCAAAACGTACGGATCCCTCCCACCTGCGTATGTTAGGGGGGGGGCAGTATTTAGTCGTTCTTGAAAGAAGTTTTGCATAGCTTCCCTCAGAGCACATGCCCTGGCTCCAGTGCTAACGATAAGTGTTGTGATTTTCAGAGCCAGCAGGCGCAAAGCGTTCAGCATCCGAAGGGTCTTCAAAGAGGAGTAGGTCCAGAAAGGTTCGTGAGTATTTTATACCTACTCAACTGTTTATATGTCTTCATTTTTGCCGTAAAAAGACCAAATTGCTACTTTCAATTCCAGACTTGCTTTACGATTCTTCTGATAGCCCTGGTGATCACGATTGTGTTCTTACTTTTGGCTGTAGCTTTCACTGTGACTGTCCTTCTGCACGTGATTGGTGTACTTACCTTTATTCCGCAGCTTCTTCCTTATGAATGTTAAGCTAGGAACGAAAGCGATGTACTTCTACTATAGTCATTCATTACGACGAACACTTGCTGTACTAATTTTCAAAGAATATAAATAATTTCATTGCTGAAGTGTGGAGTTCTTTACCACTTCTTCTCAGGATCATACTGTCATTTTGGATGTGATTGGTCCCACATAGTCCCACGACAAGTGAAAATGAACACACCTCATAGGGATATAAGCCTTGGTGGGGCAGGCGAAAGTCATCAATTGACCCTTTTGACCCTCAGTGTTCAAACAGTAAAAAAAAACCAAAACTGAATACGACGGAATCGGATGGGAATCGAGTATCACTAATGTCACCATCAAAATAACTGCTCTAATCCTAACGCAGTCTGAGGGGGTGGGCGAGGACGAGTACGTGACAAGAGAACATATGACGCGCTGGAGAGGCGAGCGACGCCGTGCATGCGAGAAATGAGTTGTTCGACCTGATGAAACTCACTTGAAAGGCACGGGATGATCTATGTTACTAAGAATGGACTCTTGCCTCTGCACAAATTCCCATGAATTTAGTTGCACCAGTCGACAAACTTATGCACATCAAGATTTTGCGGACAAGACATTTGTAATTGGCCGCGCGCGACGGCCCATCACGAATGACTTGTCCGTCAGTGCATACCGCGGCGACTCAGATCGTGTGCGCTCTTCGAACAAGGATTTTTCCAGCCAAGTAGCGCTTTTTCAAAACTCTTCATTACAGGTTGTAGGGGAACGTGTATAGTTTACTGGGCTGGTTTGATTTTTTCTGTCTGCATACAAGAAGGCAAAAAGGTGAACGGCGGTTCTATACTCCGAGTTCTCACGGCCATAAAAAATTGCTAACCACTTCTTGATGATTTCTAATTTTTTTGTCTTAATATTCTTTCGAGCCTTTTGTATAAGCGTGTCCACAAACGTCCTCATCGTTTGTTCAAAAAACGACACCCTCCTTATTGCTCCCATCATAAATTCATGAACCTCATGAGCTCGCAGAACATTTCCCACTCCGTTCTGATATT